AGATGTAATTGGTGGCACTGACTGGGGAAATGGGCACAGTATGCACTGTGAGCCTGATACAGAAGCTGGCAGCAGTGGCAGACAACTGACTGCTATTCAATCTATAACAGTGAAAAAAGTTTTTTGTTTTTAAATCCAAGCTATTGTGACACCAGATGTAATTGGTGGCACTGACTGGGGAAATGGGCACAGTATGCACTGTGAGCCTGACACAGAAGCTGGCAGCAGTGGCAGACAACTGACTGCTATTCAATCTATACCAGTGAAAAAAGTTTTTTGTTTTTAAATCCAAGCTATTGTGACACCAGATGTAATTGGTGGCACTGACTGGGGAAATGGGCACTGTGAGCCTGACACAGAAGCTGGCAGCAGTGGCAGACAACTAAGTGCATTTACATTACATAGAAAAAAAAAATCAAAAAAAAGCATACCCTTATCCCTAACCTAGCTATGCTTTTCCCTATCTTATGAACAGCAGCTACACTTTCCCTCCTCTTACTAAGCATGCAGCTTGAGAATGAATCTAAAATGGATGCTGTCCAGTAGGTGGGAGGGTCTGCTAGGGAGGCTGTGCTGCTAATTGGCTGGAATGTGTCTGCTGACTGTGAGGTACAGGGTCAAAGTTTACTCAATGATGACGAATAGGGGGCGGGTCGAACCGCGCATATGTTCGCCCGCCGTGGCGAACGCGAACATGCTATGTTCGCCAGGAACCGTTCGCCGGCGAACCGTTCGGTACATCACTAATCCCTGTATGTTATGTTTTTGCAAGTATTTATCCAATTTTAATTTAAACATCTGTATGGACTCTGATAAAACCACCTCTTCAGGCAAATAATTCCATATCCTTATTACTCTTACTGTAAAAAAAAAAACTTTTATTTGCCTTAGATTAAATCTCCTTTCTTCCAGCCTAAATGTGTGACCTTGTGTCCTATGTATAGACCTGATTTCCAGATAATTGTTTGTACTGGCCCCGAATATATTTGTATAATGTTATCATATCCCCACTGAGGCGCCATTTTTCCAAACTAAAGAGATTTAAGTTTTTTAACCTTTCTTCATAACTAAAATGCTTAATTTCTTTTATCAATTTTGTAGCTTGTCTCTGCACTTTTTCTGGTGCCATAATATCCTTCTTTAAAACAGAATTGCACAGCATATTCAAGGTGTGGTCTTACCAGCGATTTATAAAGAGGCAAAATTATATTTTGAATATGCACAGCATATTCAAGGTGTGGTCTTACCAGCAATTTATAAAGAGGCAAAATTATATTTTCATCCCGAGAATCTATGCCCCTATTTATACATGACAAAACCTTACTGGCCTTTGATTGACATTGCATATTGCTGCCTAATTTGTTGTCTATAACAATTCCCAAATCCTTCTCGTGTTATCCCTAATTTACTATCATTTAGGGTGTAAGTTGGTTGTGCATTCTTGACCCCAAAGTGCAAATCTTTGCATTTCTCTACGTTAAATTTCATCTGCCATTTTAGTGCCCAATCCCCCAATCTATCCAAATCCCTCTGCAGCAAAGCAATATCCTGCTCACATTTTAGTACTTTACAAAGTTTTGTGTCATCTGCAAACACTGAAACACGGCTTTCAATGCCCATTTCAAGATAATTTATAACTATGTTAAAAAGAAGCGGT